GAATATTAAGCCAAGAAGAAAAATTCGATTTTGGAGACTAATTTTGTTTGCGACCTCCAATTTAAACAAATGCGTGTTTTTTTCTTTTTTTACTGCTGTCTTTATATAAACGATTAGGTCTCACTGTTTCTATCTCCTCATCGGAAGAATATTGGTCGTTGCCGAAATAAGTTAATTCGATATCGTTTTTTTTTTTTTTTTGGTTATTATCTCCTTTATATAGAAAGAAAAATCCAGCCACACAAGCAAAAGCAATTGCCAAAAAAGCAAAAAGTGTAAAAAAATGATACTTACGCTTATTATTGGCTTTTGGCTTAGGCCTGTTTGGTGTTTGGAGTGAATTTTCGTAATTCTTTTCTTCTCTGGTTGGCAGACCAGAAGTAAGAAGAGTTGGCTCGGAATTTTCCCCTTCGTTAGTTGTTGAATTTCCTTCTCTTGTTAATTTTCACACCTCTTCTTGTGCTTTTCTTTTCCCTTCTATTCGCTCTTCTTGGTTCGACCGAGTAATTGCCCTTTTCGTTTCGGCCACTTGTTCTTTACTCATTTCCTTCAACCAGGCAGAAAAAAGTTTAATCTGGTTTTTTTCAGGAAAAATCCCTCCGTTAAGTTGTCCTATTTCGTGTTCTAACTTTTTTAATAATTCAGACAAAGTTTTTCCTTCTAGCCAGAAAGGATTTTCTAAAATTCCGAGTGTAAAATCTCAATCCTCCTGACTGACAGTTTTCTTCCGAATTTCATCTTCGTTCAATCAGTTTTTAAAATCCTCTATTTTGTAAGTTTTTTCTTCAAACATTTTAGTTTTGTTTTAATTTTATCCTTTTCTTCGGAATATTTTTTGGTAGTTGCGAAAAAAAAATTTATTTCGCGTTGGGTTGCTTGGAGACTATCAGAGCCATGAACGGCATTAGCCGTAACGCTCGTTCCGAAAATTTTCCTAATCGTGTCTTTTTGAGCCAGAGCCGGATTAGTCGCCCCCATAATTTCTCGGTTAAGTTGGATGGCATTTTCTCCTTCCAAACAAACAATTACTACCGGAGCACTACACATAAAATCTACCAACTCATAAAAAAAAACTTTTTCGCGGTGCTCCGCGTAAAAAAGTGTGGCTTGGTGTTGAGACAAGCGGGTCATTTTCATTTCTACCAGTCGCAATCCCCTTTTTTCCCAAATGCTAATAATCTCACCAATCAAATTTTTTTGTGTTATGTCGGGTTTGATGATAGCCAGAGTTCTTTCAACAACCATAATGTTAAAATTAAATCGTTTGAGTAACAGTTGGCCGTTGCTTTTTTCGTCAAAATTTTCCTTTGTAAAGAGCCACTTTAATACCAATTTTCCCCCGACTGGTGATAACCTCTTTCCGACCGAGTTCAATGTTGCTATCAATAGTGCTAAAAGGGAAATTTCCTCAACTTCTTTTTTTGGTTTGGGCAATGCCCGACTTGTCGAGAATGCCCTTAATTATGACCTCTCCTCCTTTTACTTTTGTTTCCCTACCTCTTTTTTGCTCCAAAATTATTTTTTTCACCATGCTGCGGAGAACTAGCATGACCGACGTTTGTTTTTTCACCTGGCTAGCGATTAGATTAGCAATGGTTTGGGCATAAGTATAAACATTTTTTACTTCTCGTAGATTGATACGGAGTTTAATTTTTCTGTTATCAAGCAGCGATTTAACCTCATGCACAATTTCTTCTATTTTTTCTTTGTTTTCCCCTATCATTAGGTCAATTTCCGGAAGAAAAATTTCCAGAAAAATATTGTTTTGGTCGCCTTCTATTCTTAACTGGGAAATATCGGGTAAGATTTGGGAGAAGTAGTCGCGAATTAATTTATCCTTTTTTATTCACTCCGCCTGTTCTTTTTTGCTAGTGGAAAAATAATAGTTGTTCCAAGTTCGCTCTTGGTTAGTGCCTACTCGAATTGCATAAGCATTAAATTTCTGAACCATTGTTATATTATATTGTTATCGTTTGGTTTAAGCAGTTGTTTATTAATACTCCATGATAACATAATTATTTCATCTTTTTAACGACATTTTTTTAAACTATTTTTATTCCCTTATTTTTTACCTTAACTAATTTTTGTGAGGTAAACTCGTATATTTCTTCTTCACAATCCCATCTTTCTTTCTCGTGGCTGATAACTATAACTGTCTTGTTTTTTAATTCAGAAAAGAGAATTTTTTGGATATTTTTTTTAAGGTTGGGGTTAACATTACTCAAAAATTCGTCAAAAAGGTAAATTTCATAATCTCTAACCAGGGCTCGCATTAAACTAACTAATTGTTTTTGTCCAGCCGAAAGATTCTGTCCTTTTTCGGTAATAATAGTTTCTCAACGATAAGGTAAGTGGTCAATAAACTCCCTAATCCCTAATTTTTGGGCTGTTTCTTCTAATTTTTCTCGATGAAGGTTCTCCTGATAAGTCTCGGGGTAAACTATATTATTACCTAAACTAGTATTAAAAAAATAAGGATGATTAGCCAAATAGACGATTTTCCCCCGTCAAGTCGAGTTATCAATTTTTTCTAATTCTGTATCATCTAATTTAATAATTCCTTGCTGGGGCGTGTAAAGTTTAACAATTAACCTAAATAAAGTGCTTTTCCCTATTCCGTTCGGTCCAGTAATTAAATATTTCCTTCCCTTTTGAAAATTGAAAGAAAAATTATCTAGGATTTTTTTCTTGGTTCGGGGGTAAGTAAAATGAACTTGCTGAAAAATAATATTATTTCCGTTGGCTGGCAAGTGGTCGGTAGAAGAAACGAAAGTTCGGTATTTCTCCAAACTAGCCAAAGACTCATTTAATCTTTTCCGGCTGGAACTAAAACTCTCGTAGCCCCCATAAGCTCAAAACATTTCGAAAATGGTTTTACAGTCCCCAAAAATGCTGGCTAATTTAGCGTATAAAACGGCTCCGCTTGCTTGTCCGCCAATGAAACCAATGACTAAAAAAAGAAAAGGGATAAAACGAACTAAAATATAACTAGGGATAGTAGCATAAACACTTTTAGTAAGCACAAATTTATAGTTTTTCCGTAAGTTATTAGCAAATTGTCGTTGACTTCATTGATTTTCTTGGTCTTCGGCTCCGACAGTTTTAATATATTCTAAATTGTCTCTTAATTCTTTAAATCGCTTATTTTCCCGGTCAACTTTTCTATCCCTTTTTAGTTTGTAGCGGTAAGAAATAAAATACAAGGCCGGAACCAGAACAGCCAAAATCACCAAGGCCGCCAAACATCAAGGTATTACCCATTTTTCCTTCGTTTTCCTGCTAAATCCCCAGAGTAGTAAGATAATGGAACAAACTGAATAAAAACTGCGGTTGAAAATTCGCACAGCCAACGTTCCAATCGTGGTCGTATCACTATCAAAACGCGATAGAATAAATCCTTCTTTTTGGGCTTGATTGAAGTCGGCGGACAAAAATAATCTAGTTAATTTTTTTCGTAAATGAGAAGTATAAAGTTCTTCGAGCCAAATACCAATCGCAACGTGCAAATAAACAGTTACTCCGTAAACGAGTAAACGAAGCAAAAAACTACTCGCATTATTTTTTAGAGTTTTTACTCCTCCTTTTTTTAAAGCGTCTCCTAAATAACCAAATATTAACTGGGTCGAACCATAAGCACTGAATAAAGCAAAGCCATAATGAATTGAAGAAAGTAAAGGGAATTTTTTCAAGAGATAAAATAAACTGACTCGGGTTTTCTCTGTTGTATTTGTCTGGTCTCTCATCATTTTTTTCCTTATTTGTTTTTTTTTTTTTTTTTGCTTAATTTTGTTTAACCAATTTTAACTGATTGTTAAAAGTATTTAATTTAATGGTCACATAACTACCATCTAGTACCAGTTCTTTACGCCAGTTAGAAAATTTGGCAATCAGAAAAATTAATTAGGAAAATTAGGAGAATGAGGAAGAGAAAATAGAATCTTTACGCCCTTTACTTTACGCCTATTCATAATATCTTCTTAACTTCTTCTCAGCCATTTTATAATCTTTACTAATATCGCCACTTGCAATTAAACCGCTATGTTTTCTCCCCACTACGATTTTTCCACTACTGAACAAAATGAAATTTACAACTACTGGCAGCAAATAATTAGTCAAACGAAAACAACAAAAACTTTACTTTTGCCACCACCCAACATTACTGGTAATTTACATTTGGGGCATGCTCTAAATTCTGTGCTCCAAGATTTTCTAGTGCGTTTTTCTTACTTACAAAAAAAACCGATTAAATGGATTGCGGGGATTGACCATGCGGGCATTGCTACTCAAAGCAAAATTGAAAAATTAAAACTAGTCAAACTCAACACCGATGATAAAAAAAGAGCCTACACTCTGCAAACTTGGTATCCGCAAAGCCGAAAAATTTTTACTTACCAATGGCAAAAATTAGGTTTGTTGCTTGATTATGATAAAGCCAGTTTCACTTTGGACCCGGCTATTCAAAACCAAGTTAAGGAAGCGTTTATTAAACTTTACCAGGATGGTTTAATTTTGCGGGGAAAAAAATTAGTAAACTGAGACCCACAATTACAAAGCGTGATTTCAGATATTGAAGTCGAACATCGTCCGACCCAAAGCAAATTATACTACTTGAAATATCCACTAGTAAACAGTAATGATTATCTATTAGTTGCCACTAGTCGACCTGAAACCATTTTTGCCGACATGTCTTTGTTAGTTAATCCTCGGGACCAAAGATACCAAAAATATCTCGGTCAACAAATCCAACACCCCGTTACAAAAAAAATTATTCCAATTTTGGCCGAGGAAAAAGTAGAAATTACTTTTGGCACCGGAGTTTTAAAATGCACGCCCGGACATGATTTTACGGATTACGAGTTAGGCCAAAAACACCAACTTTCCGTAGTTAGTTGTTGTGACGAAAAAGGAATATTAAATGAATTAGCCGGCGAATGAAAAGGGCAAAAAATAAATGAGATTCGGGAATTGCTGGTTCAAGAGTTAGAAAAAAAAGGGATTTGTCAAAAAGTGGAAAATTACGTAACCAGTCTGGCTTATTCTACCAAGTCCGGAGCCGTGGTCGAACCTTTGCTTTCCCAGCAATGGTTCCTCGACTTACCAAATTTAATCAAAAAAATCGAGCAAAAGCAGCCCAATCGCTTGGAGAAAATTAGTTTTTTTCCGCCGTCTTTTCGTCAAACCCTAGAAAATTGGAAAATTAGAGCCCGAGAATGATGCCTTTCCCGCCAATTATGATGAGGCCATCGTATACCGGCCTGGTATCACAAAAAAACGGGAGAAATTTATGTTGGTAAAGAATTAGACAAATGCGGTTGCGTAGAGAAATATAAAAGAAATCCAAACCTTATTTGCCTGGAACACAAATGTTTTTTGTGAGAATGAGAACCCGAAAAAGATGTTTTAGACACCTGATTTTCCAGCGGTTTATGACCGTTGATTGCCCTCGCCCAAGAAAATGACCAATTTCCTTCCATGCTGACAAAATTCTATCCAATAACCACTCTGATTACGGGTTATGATATCATTTTTTTTTGAGTATTAAAAATGATATTGTTGGGAACTTATTTTACTGGTCGGGTGCCCTTCCAACAAGTATTATTACACGGCTTAATTCGTGATAGTCAGGGAAGAAAAATGTCTAAATCGCTCGGTAATGGTGTGGAACCAGAAGAAATTATTACGAAATATGGTTGCGATAGCTTACGGCTATTTTTGCTCGAAAATAATGTTTGAGGTTCGGATTTAATTTATGAAGAAAGTAAAATTATTGGTAGTTGACGTTTCTGCCAAAAACTTTGGAGTATTGCTAATTTACTGACTCAAAAAATCCCAGCCGAGGAACTAAGAATAATTAAAAAAAAGGATTTAGACTTTAAAAAAAGCAATTTACTTAACAATTGAATTTTAAAGGAATTAGCTCTTTGTCAAAAAAATTACCTGTTTTTGACGGGAGAAAATAAATACGAAATCGGGAAAATAATTACTCAACTTATCAAATTTACCCGGGAAAAATTAAGTAATGATTACTTAGAATTAGTAAAAATATCTTCCTGAGGGAAAAACACCAAAAATACGCTGCTTTTTGTTTATCAACAATTACTTTTATTACTTCATCCTGCTATTCCTTTTCTCACGGAGTATATTTATCAAAAAATTACTCAGAAAAAGCTGCTATCAGCGGAAATTGAAACCGTTAACGAAACAAAAAACCATGACTTATGATTAGTAGACTGTCTTCTCTTACTAATGGAAAAAATTCGGGCTTGTCATAAGCGTGAGGAAAAAATTCTATATTTTGAATTAATGCCGGAATGGCAAACTAAATATTGCTCCCAACTAGATTTTAACCAGTTTCTTTTTCCCTTAACCAAAAGCCACATTCAATTAGTTAGCCCCACGGAAAAAATTGCGGCTTTCTCGCTCATTGATATACATCCCTTTGGAGTGTTGAAAATTGTAGAGAAATTTCCTATTCCTAAAAATCGCACCGAAAACGAAAAAAAAATCGCATTTTACCAAACCGAGCAGCAAAGAAGCCAAAAATTACTGGCTAACAAAAACTTTATTGAAAAGGCTCCGGCTTGGTTAGTGGACCAAGAAAAAGAAAAATTAGAATTTTACGAAAAAATGATTAAGAAATTATTGAGTTAATAAATTTTTGAATTTTGGTCTCGGCCTACCCGAAACCTTTTCTTCTTCCTTACTTAATTGGAATATCATCGATATATCATCGATCAACTTCCTTTTCTATCCCCTCATAAAAAATTTGGTTGAATGGAGGAGCAGTTTCTCAATATTCTTCAACACTCTTAATTACTCTAACAATATGAATATCTTCTTTATCCCCCCGTTGGTAATTTTTTCTTCCGCGAACCATACCCAAAAAAAGAGCCAAACAGATAAAACAGATTTTACCTTTACCTCTTCCGTCTGGATAATCCGGATAAATAATTAGTTTTTCGCACGGTTTTAGACAATGATCACATCAGCGCCAATATTTTCATTCTTTCTCAGGCCACTCGCGAGTAATCAACCCTACCCGCTTCATTTTTTCGTAATCTCGCTTATAGTCCAATCATTTGACTTTTGTTTCCCCATCCCAGTAGCAATTAACTCTGCGGGTAAAAAACCAAAAAACTTTCTCCCTTTCATCAAAAAACTCTTTTCAATATTTATCGGTAATCTCAGTAATTTTTTTTCAAAAAAGGAGATGAAAAGGTTTCTCGTCTCTCCATTCCAATTCGAGTATGTTTATCGCTTTAAGGATAAAAAAAAAATGAAAATTAAAACCTAGGGTTTTCGTCCCACCAGCATTGTCGATTTCTCCAAACTTTGCACCTCAGATGTAGTAAATGAAACAGGCTAGACAAAATTTCCCGTCCTTTTCATCTCCTTCCGACCAGGTAATTAGTTTTTCGTGAACTCCCAAACAATAATCGCAATGTCACTTTCAATTATTACTTTCCGAAGAAAATTGTCTTAACTGCTCTTTCTTTTTTCTGTATTTTTCCAAATTTTCATTTTGTATTTTGGCAGCTTGAATTTCGGCGGCGGTTTTAGTATCGTCCTCGTTGAGAAATTCGTCGAGCGTCTTGCCAGGAACGACAGTATGAAAATCTTCCTGTTCGTCAGCCAAATCATAAGTTTCCCGAATTTGGGTCAAAACCAAAACGGCTTCGTAAATTTTTTGGAATTCTTCCACAGGGCTATTACTCGCAATTAATTCTCGTCGTAATTTCAAGTAAGTCGCAATAATTTCTGCTTCGGTAGCTTGGTGGCTTACTCCCAAAATTTCATAAAAATTTTTCTTTGGCATAATATCGAAAATTAGATAAAGAGAAAAAAGGCTAAAACTGCCAGCAAAATGGTGATTAGAAATACATTTATTCCCACGCTAACACCACTTTACGCATTTAACGTTTGCGTCATCGTCGTCCCTTTCGTGACTTTTTAAAACCTATTTTGTTCCTTTCTATGAACTTAGTATTACAAGTTAACAAAGAGAAACTTTTCAGAATTGTTTTATACTCCGGAGAAACTTTTAGTAAGGCCCGGGCGGTAGCCAATCTAATGGCTCTGGCTTGACTGCTAAAACCACTCCCTTTGACTCGCACTGATAAATTATAATCCTTTTCCTTACCCAACAATTTTAGGGGCTGATAAACATCTTCTTTTAATCACGGGTCAACTACAAAATAATCAGTCAATTTCTTCCCGTTGATTTGGGCTTCGCCTTCTCCCTCCCGCAGATAAACTCGGGCTGTGGCTTCTTTTCATCGACCTGTCCCTAGATAACAATCACTAGACATAATTTTCTTCACCTTATTAATTACATTATTTAACATTTAAATTTTGCCAACAATATTTACAATTTGCTATAAACAGGCAATAATTTTGTATAGTGTAATAACATATTGTATTTTAATTTAGAAAAGAAATAATCTTCTTTTTCTCTCGCCAAATTTAGCAAAAATTAAGTTATGAATAATAGTAATAATGAACCAGAGCAAGTTATTCTCCAACGGATGGAAAGAAAAATACCACTCTACAAATAAAGATTTAAGAAACATAATATTGGATTTGGAAGTGTGAAATAAAAGAATTAATTAACTAACCAGAAATAGTAGTTATAGTTAATCTTTGTTCAGTTTCAGTTCAGGCATTTTGGGTGAAAACAAGATAACGAGGGGTTAGAACTTGGAAAACATTAATATTCTGACTTTCAGTAATTTGGGCATAAGGCAAATTACGAAAAGCCCGAACCAGTTCTTTTTTATTTTCCTCTTTTTTTCCTAAAATAACTAAACTACTAACTTTTTTGTTCAGCAAATTGACAAGTATTTTTTCGGCCTCTTTCGTCTTGTAATTTTCGAGGATAATCTTTTCAACAACAATTATTTCCTTACGGCGTATTTTTTCACTTAGCAGTAATTGTAAAGCCTTTTTTTTGACTTTTTTGTTGGTAACAAGAGGGGACTTTTTTTCGCCTCGTGGTCCATGAGCCACGCCTCCACCAACAAAGTGAGGATTGCTCCTTGGACCTTGTCGTGCCATACCAGTTCCTTTCTGGCGACGCCACTTTTTAGTAGTTTTTTTAACCTCACTTTTATTTTTAGTTTTGTGAGTATTCTGGTGTTGATTAGAAAAATAACTACGGTAGGCCAAGGAAATGATCGGCCGCAAAAGAGGAACCTGCCAAATATTTGGATTAAGAAAAATACTACTTACTATATCCCCGTTTTGATTAATGACTTCCATTTTTTCCATTATAATTAAAATTAATTTTATATCAATATATGTTATCGTTAAGTAATCTCAAAATTAAAGAAATAATCAGTGAAAATAATCCTCATAGTTCTTCGTTTGTCTTCCAATATTTTCCTCCCACCCTAGAGCTAACTATTGGAAATTTTTTGCGCCGTATTCTACTTACTTTATTGAGCGGAGTAGCCGCTTTTGCTATCGAAATTAGGGTTAAAAACAAATCTGCGACTACTGACGACCAAATGGTTCCAGTGTTAACCAAATTTTCTACTTTGGTTGGAGTGGTTGAGACCACCCCTTACCTAACCCTCAACTGTAAGGGAATTCTGGCCGAAATTAAAGAAAAAAAAGACGAAATCTATTGTTTAGAAATGGATGTAAACAACCCTGAAGATAAAGAGTGCATTGTTACCGCTAAGGATTTCCAATCCAATCCGCATTTAGTAATTAAAAACCCCGATCTTTATTTAGCCACTTTGGCTCCGCTTTCTCGTTTACAAATTAAATTATATTTTCGAGAAGACTTTGGTTACTATACAGCCGAAAAACAAGAAAAACATCTTCCCCAGGCTAAAAATGTAATTTTTTTCGATACGAATTATTCTCCAATCAAAGATGACGGAGTAAACTTTCAAGTCAACTCTGTGGCCACCGGACTAGAAAAAGCAGAAAAGGAATTAAAATTAACTATTAACACTAATGGCACTATCTCTCCACGTCAAGCCCTTCTCCAAGCCTTAGAAAAAAGTAATTATATTAACGACAAAATTAGAAACGAGTTGGTTAAAAAGGAAGATATTGATGTAAATTCAGCAAATCATTTGCCGTTCGACCTGAATTAACTTCAAACACATAGCAAAACGTCAACCAATCACAAAGACCATTAATGAGTCGGGAAGGTGCTAAAAGTCTTTATCAGGCAGCATTTATATGCTTTTTGGCGTCTTTTTCTTAGGTTTTTTCTTTTGTGGGTATCGTAGTAAACAATAGATTTTTCCTAATTTTTGGTATTTTCCCAAAGACTTAACTTAATTTACAGTAAAAGGAAATCCTAAACAATTTAAAAACTGGGTATTTTCGGTCGCCGAAGCAGAACTAAAAACCAGAGTAATTTGTAATCCTTGATTTTTAAAAGTCAAGTCGTAGGCCACAGCCGGAAAAATGCTTAATTTATTTATCCCAAAATTGTAATTACCTCATTTATCAAATTTTTTTTGAGAAAGTCCTTGATTGTTAGTAATTTTTTCATCAGACGATAAAGCAATTTGAATTAATTCAAAAAGAAAATCTCACATTCTTTTTTTTCTTAACGTTAGTTTGCAACCAATCGGCATTCCCTCTCGCAATTTGAAATTAGCAATCGACTTTTTGGCATAAGTGAGAACCGGTTTTTGTCCCGTAATTTGGTGAAGAGCCTGAACTGTATTGTCTAATAATTGTTTATTATTAACAGCCTGACCGACGCCGCTATTCAGAATAATTTTTTTCAGAGTAGTAGTTTGGTGAGGAGAAATGTGCTGAAATTTTTGCCCCACTTCCTTATTTATCTGTTTTCTTTTGACTTCTCATCAATCATTTACGACCAGCATATATTTATTTTTACTCCTCCTTTTCTAGTTCGGCGACTGTTTTTTTCTCAATAATTATGTTGTCAACTTTAAGCGAAGCCGGCGTTGGTATTGGTTTATCATCCATCTCTATCTTTCAATTTCCTCTAATTCTTTTTATGTTTTCATTTTGAGCAAAACGAAACAATTTTTCTAAAATAGCCGAACATTCGTTATAAGCTTCTCTACCAAAAAAGTTTTTCTTAATGTTTCTTTTAGTTCGAGGATAATATTGAGCAAAATTTTCAAGTTTAACTAAACCGACAGGAAAATAATGATTAGAGAGAAAACTGTCTCTATGCTTGGATTCTATTTGAATGAGGTCTCAATATTCTCCTTTTTGAAAATTCAATTCAATAAAAGAATATTTTTCCATAAAACTACGAATAGTTTCCGGATTAATTTCTGTTTTTTCTACTAAATCTTTTCACCAACATTCGAGGCAAAAATCTCCTACCACCTCACTAATAATCTCTCGCTGGCAATTTTTACAATTTCATTTCATGACTCTTAACAATATTTTAAATTTTAAACTTTATCATCTCACCCTTACTCATATATAAAACTTCGGCAAAAACCTGTCATGATTTATTATATAATTATAAATATAAGTATAATAAATATTAGAAAATAATGAAAGAAGAATTAAAAGAGAAAGAGGAGAAAAGCAAAAAAAATCTCGGAGAAGAAACATATAAAAATATGAAAGTGTTTTTTAAAAAGACAATGGAATTAGTTTTGCAATTTCTTCCGGCTGATAAAAAAAAAGAAGTTTATCAAAAACTAAAAGAAAGTTATAAGGATACTTTGGTAGAAGATTGTTTTGATGATATTAAAATTGATGAAGAAGAAGAAGAAGAAAACAAAATAAATAAAAAAAATCAACTCGCTTCTTAAAATTATTAGACAATTATGAAAAAAGGAATTCACTTACCAATTCAGCAAATAATTATCACTTGTTTAGGTTGTAATCAACAATATCAAACCGTTTCAACTGTAACCAATGAAATCAAAATTGATAGTTGCCGTAATTGCGTTTATCCCGGAGCCTCTATCGGTCTAGCCAAGAAGGGAGCAGTAGAAAAGTTTCGGCAACGAGCCCAAAAAGTCAAATTGAAAAAAATTTAATGTTGTTAAGTTTTTCCCTCCATCAAATAATTTGTCTCCGCTCTTTCGTTCTTTTTTTTTAAAGTAGAAAAAAGTGTTTATCATTAGAAGATAAATAACGAATAGAAGTAAAAAAAACAAACATGAATAGTCCAATTCCCCTCTTTGTTCTCATTGGTCGTTTAGTCTGTTTCTTAATTCGGACAGTTAATCTAGCAATCTTTTATTATTATAATAACTAAAAATAATAATTAAAATATTAAATGTTATGGTTAATGTCCAAGAATGATTAGATAAAAATTATCCTCGCAATGTTAGTGAGGAAAAATTTGCCAGTGCTAGAATTGAGGAGCCTGACCGAACCATCGACGAATTTGCCACTCGCTATCAGAAAAAATTTAAACTTCTGAGCACCAAAGACGAACCCAACGACGAAGCTCGGTATATGTTTTTAACCCCAGAAGGTATTCGCACATTAATTAAAGACGAGGCAGGAGGATTTGTTCGGATTTTGACAAATGATTGAATTCATTGGAAAATCGAAAAGTTAGATGCAGAATTTCTCTCCTCGCTTGAAATGGAATACAGTCGCATGGATTTTGGTAATGCGTTTCTTTCTCGGGCTGCTCCAACTAGTAATTCTCATCGTGGTAATACCAAAAATTTAAATGCTTTTCTGTGAGCAATGCTAGTTCGTCTTTATGAGTGTTGGGAGCAGGATGAATTTTTTATGGGAAAATTAGTGCTGGAAAAGAAAGTTCTAACGAGGTTAAAAAATAATAAGGATTATAGTTCAAGAGAAAAAAGAAAGGTTGGCGAAAGGAGATTAGAAGAAGAGGAAATAAATGAATACCCCGGTTTAGAGGGTGATTTGAATTTAAGGGAATTTACGAAGTTGGAGGAAGTGCATTTGCCCGGTTTCCGTCTCACCGGATTATTATTATCAGATAGTGTTTACGGCGAACTCGAAAATCTGACTACTATTAATTGTCAAAAAAATCGGCTCCAAAGTTTAAATCTCGATTTTTGTCCCAGTTTGAAAACCCTAAAATGTTCTGATAATAATCTCACGAGTTTGGATTTAAAAAATAACCAAAAGTTAATTTCTCTTGATTGCAGTAATAACTCCATCAACCAACTAATTTTTCCTTCTAATTCGTTTTTAGCAACAGTAGACATCAGCCAAAACAAAATGACGGCCAACCTTGATATTTTTTCTGGGTTAAAAAAATTAAAAAAATTGTGATTAACTAAGAAGTTGTCCGGAAAAAACCAATCACCCCAGGAAAATGATTTCAGTGGCTTGTTAGCCAGTTTTGAAGGTTGTGGTAATTTAGAACTTATGGTGGCGGTTAATCAAACTAAAATCCAAGGAAATCCCGCTAATTCTCTGTATTTATTTGGGAAAAATATGGGATATTTTTATTGTCAAAATACTATTTTTCAAACGGAACTTAAACCTTTTGGATACGACATAAAAAAATGAAAATCTGAAAAAATTGGAACCTTAGAGGAGCAATTGGCCAAAGTATCGAGAGAAACCGACGGTAGGATTGTCGAATTAGAACAAGAATTAGAGATTGAAAAAGACCATTCCAAGGACATTGATAGATGATACCGAGATAGAATATTGGTAGGAGAAAAAGAAGCAAGAGAAGCAGCTGAAAAGAAAGTAAAAGAATTAGAAATTCAAATTGAGAAAGGTATTGAGGAATTGGCTGCCCACAAAATAGCAGAGCGAGAAAGAAAGATTGCTAATTTGGAAACTAAAAATCAAAACTTAACAAAAGATTTAAACTCACAGGAAGAAAAAATTAATTCTCTCCGTGTGAAACTAGTCGAGCAAGAAAGCAACGCCAGCAGCGCCGCTAAAACTACACAAGAAAAGGAAGTAATAAAACAGAAAGAGATAGAAAACTTGGAAACGGAAATAAAGAAATTACGGCAGGAAATAATTGACTTAAAAAAGAAAGAAAAAGAAGAAACAGTGGAAAAAGTAATTGAAAAGTTGGTAGAAGTTGAAGACGCAAAAGTTCAAACCGAACAGTCGGAGCCAAAAAATCCAGTCAGTCCAACCACCACTAGCCAACTATCTCCTTATTCTGACGGTTCTTCTATGCTTAATCCAAGCAGCAATATTGATTTTTCCACGGAGGAAGATAAAATAACTACCGCCTTAATAAAAAAATTATCAGAGTTGACTGAAATTGGATTAAGAGGGATAGAAAAGGAAAAAGAAGTCATGGAGTTAAGACGAAAGTTGTTCCAAATAGAACGAGCCAAGATTAACAAACGCTGTGAGGAAAAAGTAGAGGAAATTTCGCTCATCTTACAACACTTAAAAAATACTTTATAGTGTATAAACAGTAAATCGATTGAGTGTTATTATCGAGTTCAAATGGTCTTTGGTAAATATTATCAATAAAAGGGCGGGACTGGTGCAATCGGTAGACACACAAGAATGAGGTTCTTGCCAGCGAGGGTTCGAATCCCTCGTCCCGTACCAAAATAATCGCCAATGTGGAAAAAAATTTTTCTGATTTTTCTGGCCTTAATCATTATCGCCGGTTCGCTCTTTTTTGCGAATGAGGAAGAAGACTTTTCTCCGGCCGAGGAAAGAAAAGAAAATATTAGTAAAGGCACTCATTTTACTCGCCTTATTAATTTTTTTCGGAATATTTTCGCTCTCCTAATGTTGACTTTTATCTTGCTTATTTTTGGTTTACCGAATTAGTTATTATTTCCACCACACCGCCGCCAAGTCGCCAATTTATTACTGTTAATCAACTTAGTTTTTCCAATTTGCCTGTTCCAATATGCGGTCTTGCAAATCAAACATTATTTTCCGGTCTTTATCTTCTTCGTGGTTGTAGCCTAGCAAATGAAGTAAGCCGTGAAGAAACAAGAAACAAATCTCTTGGGATAAAGAGTGTTGGTTTCCTTGGGCTTGCTTCTGGGCTACGGGATAGCAGATAAATATATCTCCTAAATCCCGTAATTTCCCAACGGAGCAAGAGCCAATTTCTTTCTGGTAGTTATAATAAAAAGGAAAAGCCAGAACGTCCGTAGATTTGTTTATCTTCCGATAACGTAAATTTAACCGCCGGCTTTCTTCTTTACTAATTAAGGAAAGACTAACCAGAGCAGAAATATTCTGTTTTTCAATCACAATTTTGAGAATTTTTTCTGATTTTTCCCGAATTTCTTCTGGCAGAGTATATTCAGGTTTGGAAAAAAATATCATTAATTCGCTTTCGTTGTCCTTCGGCTTTATGGGTGTGGTTGTTAACAATCTCCTTTTTTGTTCTTGGGCTTGCTTTCTTTTAATCTTAACAAGAAGTAGCAACAATCCAGAAAAAACCAAACACCAAAAGGTAAATGTTATTGTCATTCAAATTAAACCAATTTGTCAACGACTTCATCCCCGACGAAACCAAAAATATTTTTTTTGGTCGGAAGGATGAGAAGGCAAGCCCTTACACCAGAAAAATGGTGGATAGGGGTAGTCCGGCGGATATTTATGAGGCAACTTTTTTCCATTATTGATTATTTCTGGACGAACTAAAATGTAAATAAAATAAGTGGTTGGAGAAATTACATTACCAACCAAACTTAATCTTTTTTTCTTGGCTAGTAAATCGACTTGACAATATTTTCAAAAATAAGCAACCACCAATGCCGGAGCCGCTATATGTCAAAAAAAATTATAGACCAGTCAAACATTAACTCTTCTTGTTTGGGAAAATAAAGGCAAGAAGGGGAGAAAATTAGTTCTTCTTTTCCAACCCGGAAAAGTCAGCAGAAAACCACCCCCGCTAAAAACTAATCCACTTACTAAATTAGTCTGGACAACCACCGCACTCATTATCTGCTCCCCCCATAACCTTTCCTTCTCTCCATTTTTCCGCAACTTGTAAATTGCTCACGGAATAGTTATTAAGGAAGTCCAAGCCGACCAGTAAGTAAAAAAACGGGCTCAATATCATCAGGCCGTTAAACTGACAGTCTCATGAGAAGCCTGGTCGTAAAAGGCTGATAACAAAACGGAAAAAGCATGAAAAAAAATGATTGCTAGAAGCAATCAAACTCTTTTTTTAAATGACTCACGAGCAAAATTTTCCTCACTTATGAATTTTATCATTTTGGTAGAAAAAGATTTTTTCCGCATGCTCCTGGTAAAAATTGGTCGGCCTCGGCCGAAGTTAGCCGCAGCATTTTTGTTCCGACTGCTCGGAAACTTTTTTTCAAGTGTCAAATTTTTCATTTGAAAGAATTTCAAAAATTACTTCTTCACATCTGTTTAAAGAAGGTGCAAATTTTTCTTCGGGATTGCTTTCGGATCAATTTTTAATAATATTAATAATTATTATACACATAAGAGAGAGAGAGAGAGAGAGAGAGAGAGAAATAACCAAAATATCAAGCAATTATCTGAATGAGAAGTCAAGCGTGATTACCGCTGAAAATGAATGTGAAATAGGTTTAAAAGCGGCAGTTGTTAATTTTTGCTAGTATCAAAGAGATAGCGAAAGAGAATAAAAGTTCATTCTTTCTCTGTTTTGTTAGAATAACCTTAATATAATCAATAAATATGGTTCGTATTAGTAACGTTGACATCCCTAATAATAAAAATGTCTCTTTCGCTCTTACTCATGTCTATGGCATTGGTCACACTCGAGCCCAAGGAATAGTTACCAAACTTAATATTGTTAGTCAAAAAAAGGCTGGTGATTTGACTGACATTGAAATTAAGGCTATCAATGAAGAAATTAAACATTTTCCAGTCGAAGGAGAATTAAAACGAATAGAGCAAGAAATAATTAATGAGGACGCTCGTCTTGGCACTTATCGTGGTCTACGCCGCTTTAAATTGCCAGTTAACGGGCAACGAACTCGGCATAATGCTCGTACTTGTAAGGGACCAGTTCGCAAAACGGTAGCTAACAAAAAGAAAGCACCCAAACCTAAATAATTAGTTATGAAAATTATGATTTTCAGAGTGGAAAATGAGAATTTATTACCGATATTTACTGCTTGTTTCTGGGAAATTTCTATTCTAAATTCTAAATGTTCTTTTCCGACTTTCCTTTGTTCTAACTTTTCTTCTAATTCAATTATTTCGCTTTTCAATTGACAAAGTTGGTTAATTTCTTCTTCGCTTAGTCTAGTTCATAATTGTTTTTTTAATTTTTGCAATTCATTTTCAAGTAGCCCAAGAGTTTTCGGGTCACTGTTTTCAGTCCGATAAGTAGTCAAAAATTCTTGATTTCTTAATAGGTTCTTTAAGAGAGTATTATTTTCTAATTTGCTTTTGGCAGCATTTTTTAATTGCTTCAATTCCCGCCCTTTGCTTTGGAGATTAACAAATAATTCCAGATTTTCATTTTTTTCTTCTTGACTAGTTTGGAGTTTTTGTTTTAAATCTATGATTTCTTTCTCAAAATAACCGCGGATAGTGTTATTGGCGACCCGAAAATTTGGATTTCAGCACGATATTCTAGTTCTAAGTTGTTGTATTTTTCCTCTAACTCCTCGGTCGCTACAACTCGTTCTTGAAAAGAACTCAGAAGTTCTTCTTGTTCGGATAGTTAAGTTGTTAATTCTTGGTTTTTGGTTGTTAGTTCGTTAATTTGGTTTTTGAATTCTTAGTTTTGATTTTTGATTTCACGGCATCCGTGGGCAATTTTCCTGGCGGTTTCTTCCAGAACAGTCAAATTAAGATTACTAGAATTGCTTAGAGAAAATGGGTGTCATCACAAAAAAAAGACTCTAGTTTTTCAGTGGGTAAATATTCTAAACCTTGGGTAATAGTTATACTTTTGTTGATATTCAGAATTTTTAAGTTTTTAATAAGATTTTAAGAATTTTGGGGAGTTGTCAATAAATGAACAATTAGAACAACCGCTTAAATCTAAGTCTGTTAAGTTAGAAAAATGCCATAAGTTCAAATTTCCTTCTATAAATGGGAATCTGCTTTTATTTTAGTAAGCCTACTAAATTATAAATTCATTTTGTCTCAATCTTCTTGTTGCCCTCTTTTTCAAAGAAAGTAAATAATTGACATTATGCCTCCACTAAATATAAGTCAAAAAATTATTCAAAACCAACTTATTTTAGGTCGGTGTTGGTCGATACAAGACAAGCAAACTCTTTTCTCCGAGCCCGTAGGCTTGGAGCAAAATTTACATAATCTGCTCTCTCTCTCTCTCTCTCTCTCTTGATTATTATATTATCGTCCATCATAATTTTTTTATTTAACATTTTTAATTTCCCGCCTTTGTTCTTTCGGATAATTTTCGTCTAATCATTTTTGAGCGTCTACCATAATTTATTATAATATACTAACATTTAAGTCAATTTATTTATATTATATAAATTGAGAAAACATTTTCTTCTTTTGACTTATGTTTGTTGTATTTATTTAATGAGGAAACGAATATGTTTTTTGCAAAAATAATATTATGTTAAAAATTCGTTTAAGTTTAAGAGGAAAAGTGGGTCAGCATTCTTTCCGAGTAGTAGTAATTGAGTCGAAAAGAAAACGAGACAGCGGCAGATATTTGGAAGACTTAGGTTTCTACAATCCTCACACCAAAGAGACAAAATTAGACCAAGAAAACATTCAAAAGTGATTAAGGAACGGAGCACAACCGACCCTTATTGTTCGAAGTTTACTAAAAAAAATTTTTTAGGCTTTTCACATTAAAAGTTAATATATGAACGAGCAGCAAGATCTAAGTATTCAAACAAACAACGATTATAAAGATGAAGAGAGAGAGAGAGAGAGAGAGAGAGAGAAATAACCAAAATATCAAGCAATTATCTGAATGGGAAGCCAAGCGAGATTACCGCTGAAAATGAATGTGGATTAGTTTAGGCATGTATTTGGTAATAAGATCTATTGACTATTTCGTATTAACTCCGCTGGTTAGTGGAGGAGTAAAAATTTGGCATAAATTATTTGCCATTCCCCTATTAACAGGAATGATAGTTTTTTTCATTTCCTTTCTTGTTTGTCTAATCGGCTGAATACTGGCTCGGAATGAGTGTGGGAAACTGGCTGCGGAAAAAGGAGGCAATAAGGAGATAATTTTCTAACAATCTTTTAACTTTTTTGAGTTGTTCGAAAAAATTAGAACTAGTAATCTAATAAAGAAAAATCTAGTCAATTCTTAATTTTTTTAGTTGCCGCTATTGAAAAAAAATATCAAGACTTGAAGCAGAAATAATTTTGGACTCGGAGGAAAAAACTAGGAAGAGGACTGGGGAACGAAAAGAATTTTATAGCAGCGTTCACAAAAATCTTGGTCTTTTGACCGGTAATTCCAGCAGCGTTGGCAACGTTTTAATTGAGTGTTTTCTAGATAAAGAGAACAAAAATTTCCCGTCATCATGTCTTTTTTTAATTTGGGACTAAATCGGATTTCCGCCACCATTAATAATTCAGTTAAATTCAACTGAAAAAATTCGGGTGGCGGGTTTTTTTTGCTCGAGATATGAATTAATAAGGAAGCCTGGGAATTTGTGATAATAATTTTTTCGCGACGAGCCTTTTCTAATAATTGATAAACATCGTTGCGCAAGGGGAAAAAATAATCCGTAATTAGTTGGATTTCTTTTTCCTGGCCGGGAGAGAAGTCCATTTTCGGAGGTCAATCTATTAAATGAACGCTCTCAAAACCAGCAAAACCAAACCGGAAAGGAATATTTTGGTAAACTTCTTCGGCTAGAAAAGGCAAAATCGGAGAAATTATTTTTAATAATCCTCATAATAAGTAGTAGAGAGTGGTAATAATTTGGTGGCGACGGGGGTCGGAAAGGCTATCACAATACAAACTATCCTTGCTAATCTCAAAATAAAAGGCACTTAAATCATTGATAAAAAAGTTCAAAAGGGAAGAATAAATAGGGTTAAAATTATAATGATTATAATTTTTTTTGCTGTCAGTGATTAATTTTTCTAATTGGTGGAGAAGGTAGTAGTCGACTAAATTTAATTGGGGGGCTAATTTGGTTTCTTTTTGTAATTCGGGTGGTAAATTGGCTAGATTGCCGAGTAAAAAGCGAAAAGTGTTACGGATTTTGCGGTAATTTTCCCGGATATTTTCTAAAATAGAAATACTAACTTTTATTTCTTTGGTAAAATCGCAACTGATCACTCAGAGCCGCAAAATATCTGTGCCAAAATGGGTCAAAATATCCTCGGGGTCAATAACATTGCCGAGGGATTTGGACATCTTGCGGCCTTTTTCATCGACCACAAAACCGTGGGACAGGACTTGCTGGTAAGGGGCTTGACCGGTGAGTATAACCGAGGTGATTAGAGAAGAATTATATCAGCCCCGAAATTGGTCTTGGCCTTCGACGTAGAGAGTGGCGGGTCAGGAGTTTTTTTTTTTGTTATATTTATTTTTTATTTCCATTATTTCGTATAAATTTTTTTCAATTGTTTTCTTAATTCAAATTTTCTAGTTAAAATTTCTTTCATTATTTTACTATTTTCCAGTAATTTTTCCTTATCCTTTGGAAAGGCCAACCTAATCTCTTTAACTCTATTGCTTAAATGAGGAACAGTAGAGTAAAACAATAGTTTACCCACTTGTTTCTTAAACTTTTCACTATTGAGAGCATAAACAAAGTTTCAAGTGTCTATTCCATAGTTATTTTTGATAACTCTAATTTTGTAGAACCCAGCAGCAAATATAATTTTTTCCTCCCCCGGCATGATAATAGCACACTCGCCTACCAAATGCCTCCCATCTTTTACTAATAAAATATCATAGGGTTTAATATTTTGTTTATCTTTATACTTTTGATAAATTTCCTCGCTAGTAAAATGTTGGGGATTGCTTCTGATTTCTAAGTTAGTAATGTCGGAAGTTCTAATAAATGGTATAGTGCTACTTTCTAAATAATTCCTACTCCCTATTTCATCGCCGGTCGGAATATTTTTATTCTTGTTAACTTCTATTATGTCATAGTCAATAATTTCTCTGAAAGTCAGAACTAACTGGTTACTTTTTGTTTCTTGTTGGTTAAGAAAACCATTGTAATAACTAGGAATTAAAATTAAGTCATCGGTTTGTTTTATGTCTTTATGGGTAATAAAAAAAACTTTATCTTTTTCGGTTGATTTTTGATAATGAATGATTTCGTGACGGTTTTTTAATTTTGTGGCTAGGTTATCCAATTCATCATTAACAACAAAATTTCCATTTTTATCTTTCTGCGGGATGCCGTTGTTATCATAATTGTATAAAATTTTCCCTCTTTTGTCATGACCAACATTTTGAATGTCGACGCAAATAACTTTATCTCTATCATTGGCTTGACTGTTCTCTAAAACTAAAATTGTTGGCTTTACACCAGTAAAAGGTTTGAAAGTTTCTGGAGGGAGACTAAAAACTGCTATTATTTTGTAGTTTTGAAGTAAAGTTCTCCGAAGTTCACGATAGATTTTATTGCCAAAAATACTGGCTTCTGGTAAAACTATGGCTAACTTACCACTTTTTGCTAATAAATTACAGCACAATTCAAGAAATAAAATTTGTGGTTCGGCTTTGTTTTTTTTGCTTTGAGAGTTTAGCCGTCAGAAAGTAAATTTTTTGAGAATTTCCTCCTCTCCAACCATGATTTTCTGACCAAAAGGAGGATTAGTCAAAATAATATTATATTTTTTCTCTCAACCAGTAGTAAATTTAACTAAACTATCCTCGTTTCAAATATTAGAAGTTCCATCGCCAAGGATACACATATAGGCTTTACATGATTGAGATAAGAAACTGTCTTTATCACAGCCAAAAATGTTTTTTTTCGCTATTTTGATTTTCTCATTTTCTAAATCCTCTTTTTTTCATTTTGCTGAATATTTATCATTAAGTTTTTTTCAAACATATCGTAAAAACTCAACAATAAAACCGCCCGTTCCACAAGCGGGGTCAATTATTTTCTGGGTTTCGTCTACATCCAAAAAATTAATAACAAATCTTACTACATTTCGTGGAGTAAAAAATTGTCCGTGTTCACCTTTTAAAGCGGTGCCGATAAATACTTCAAAAGCATCCGCCACCGCATCCCGACCAGAATTTTTTAAACTAATCCATTGTAATTTTTGAACAATGAAAACTATACTCTTCTCGTCAAATTTAATTTCTTCATCTTTGTCAAAAACATCTTCGAACTTGTTTTTAACCTTAGTAAAAATTGCTCTGATTTTTGTTGAACTCTCTTGGGGTTTATCAATGTTGGCGTAAAACTCAACAAATCCATTTTCATTTTGATATCTTTCATCAAAAATTTTACAAAACAGGATTTTTAGGACATTTTTCGCTATATCAGGCTCATTAGTGCTACCAATGACAGTTTTTTGTAAATTTTTTTTAATCTGGTGAAAAACACTCTTCAAATTTTCCCTTGACTTTAATTCTTCATAGCGAGGATGAGTTTCTTCTCAAACCCCGCAGGGCAAGACATCATTTAATTCTTTGAAATCAATTCCTTTGCTAGTCTCGACTTTTTTTAAAATTAGACGTTCTTTGCCATTAAATCAGACTCCAATCTTGGCTTCACACATTCGCAAGTATTTTCTTAACTGTTCTTTGCCCTCCTGCGACGATATTTTTTTACACTCGCAAATTATTTTAAGTTTATTACTTTCGAAAACCGCAATATCGACCGGATAACTTTTCTTTTCGTCGGAGGGAGAAAGCGAGACGCGAAACTGGGGATGAGTTTTTATTTCATTTTTGTTATAGCCGTAAACTTCTACTAGTTCCTTAGCCAGAGGTTGAACTGCCCCCAATTCCTCAGGGGTTGCCTTAACTTTGTTTCCTGAGATGTAATCATTTATTTTGCTATTCATTTTTTTTACGAATTTTCAAGTCCGGTTGGTTAAAAATCACTAAATTTCTTTGATGATTATTCCGGTCTGATTATTCCGGTGACTTTTTTAATAACATCACTAGGAATAAAAAGGGCATATCAAAACTGGCCCTTATAAATTTCTTTTCCGTCCTCTAAAACATCGTATTTTCAAACTTGTAGCATTATTTCGTCTTTGTTTATTGGTCGAAAACGTTTATTGTCTTCTTTTTCTTCTGTTCCACCAAAGAAATTTTTTAATTTTCCATCAGTTAGCGTTCGTTTTTTGGGTTTTTCTTCTAAATCCACCAAAACAAGTTTGGTCTTTGTAGAACTAGCGACCGAAGCCTCAACAATTTGTTGAAAAATTTCCCTCTTAACACCAATTTTTTTGAAGAAAATATGAGAAGAAAGTTCTGGTCCGAAAAACTCCTCAAAAAGTTTTTGCAGATTTTCAAATTCTTTTGCTTGGTAATTTTTGTCACTATAAATTACTTTACTTTTCACAAAAATTGAATTTTCCTCCGCGGCTAATTTTTGGTAGAATTCTTCTTCAATTTTGATGTTTTCCTGAGGTGAATATGGGAGATATTGTTCTTTTGGTTCTTCCTGATAAGTTTTACCAACACCGCTTCTTGTAAGCCTTTGAGTCGTACTATCCAGGACAAACCCTCCCCCTTCCACTATCCACTTAGCCAAAGGCTTTTCTTCTTCGTTAAGTTTCGCGATGCTTTTTCATAATCTATCTTCCATATTTCTAAGTTTTCTGTAATCCTCATCTATTTTCTTGGTGCATCAAACTCGCGAAAATTGGAGTTTTTCACGAGATTTGTATCCGAATCAGCGGGCTTGTTGGAGAGTTGTGTCAGCATTTTGTTTTTTCTTGGCTCGATTAGTGATATAAGTAACTAGTAAATTTTTAAAACTCAATCCCCGACCAATACTTTTTGCTCCAATATAGATGTTGTTAGCAGTCGTTTGCTCGCTTTCTTTAGAATTTCCTTCGCTATTAAGAGTAGTAACCATGCATTCATTAACAGTGTGTTTGACGGAATTAACTAAGTCGGCATCGTTAACAGAATGTACAACATCGGCACTAATTTCTTGCAAACCATCTCGGACAAAACTTTCAAAATAGCCATCACTTTTTTCAAAGGAACTTTTTAATTCTTCAACAAATTTTTGCACCTTCCCAAAAATATTTTTTTGTTCTTCTAAACCATAATGGGGATTAATAATCATTTCATAGCCCGGACCGTCTCCTTTTCTGAGCTCTAGAAGCGTTGCTCCCACCAAAAATGTTGCCAAAGCTTTTTTGAGTGAAGAAGAGAGGGAAGTGTCTTTGGATGACAATAATTTTTTGGCTTCAATATCTGGTATGATTCTTATCATTTTCTCGTGAGTTCTTTCGTTGCCTCAAACTTCGTTAAGACCGCAGTATTCTTTTGGTTATGAGATTGGCCCGGATGAATTAATTCCACAAACTCGGAAGACATTTTATCACGGTTATCAACAATTATATTAGCAAAAGGAGTAGCCGTGACGAAAACATAAGAATGATGAGGGAGTTCGTTACGCATTCTATTAATTAAATCATTAGTCTTGGTAGCTTCTTGGTTTGTCCTGGTAGCATTGTTGTTTAAAGAAGCCTGGTCGCCTTCGTCATCAACTATTAGAACTTTGTTGGAAAAGAGTATTTTGTTTTTAGTAATGAACTGAATAACTTTCTCCAACCAGGAATGGTGTTTAGGAATAACAATGATTATCTTCTTGCCTTTTCCTACCCATTTCCGTTGTAAAGCTTCGCCGTTTTCGTTCTCTAACTGGTTCTTGTTTTTTTCTACTACCAAAATTTTAACTTTTTCTTTTTCTTCTTTAAAACAGTCTTCTACTCTTTCCTTATTCTGATTAGCAATTGAAACGATGGACGAATTTAAAAGGATACAAATTGCGTAACCTTTGTCAAAAGAAAAAGAAATTAGAGCTAGAAAATTCTTAGTTTTGCCGCTTTGAATTTTTCCATACATTATTCCGGCTTGGCTTTTTCCTGAAATGCTTTCTAGTCTTTTGAGAATTCTTTCCGATGATTCCTTGATTGCTAGTGAATTCTGTTCTCCTATTTCTTGGGAATTATGGAGGGTAAATTTATCAGAAAAATAATTAATCATTTTGTTTTCCTGCTCCTCATTTTCAACCATTTTGTTGCAGTTGCGCATGCTTATTATAATTTAATTTAATTAATGAATAATAGCGATAGCGAATTAGAGTAAGTCTTGAAGCCTGGTAAGAAAAATATTAGGCTCTCCTATGTTAAACTGTTTAGGGCGGCTAAAGCACACTTTTTTCAAAAAGAATATTTAGTATTTATAAATTAAGTTAGAAAACAAAAAAGTTAATTTATGCCGAGTGCTTATTTATTTTAATAAATTTAATAAATAAAAAATAAAACGATAATTTATGAATGATTACCAAAAACCTACGAAGTCTAAGATGACTTGAAGAAATTGGCCATGAGAAAAAATAATCCCAATATTGGTTATTTTATTATCTCTTTTTTTCACGTGATTAATCATTTCTCAGTTTTTCAAGGTAAGTTGGGGTGGGATTTGGGTTTTAATTAAATCTTTGCTTAGCCAAGAGGAGGAAGTAAGAACAGTTAAGAAAATACTTGCGAATGTGTGAAGCCAAGATTGGAGTCTGATTTA